GGATTATAGCCGTGACTAGTGTTTAAAGGTTCAGTCCATAGGACTGCAAAAAACCAGTGGACCGAACTGAACCAGACCATGGTCCGGTCTTTTTTTCGGTTGCAGTTGCCCCAATTTGGGGTTGGTCCAGTTGCCGGTTGCCTTATTTCAAAAATCTTTTAAAACCATTCAAAGACTGGTTTTAATGGGTTGCAACCGAATAAACGGTCACGTGCATTAAATAGCCTTGTAACCACGTTTATTGCCTTTTATTGGGTTTTTGTTTCATCAAAAATGGTTAAGAATTGAGAAAGATATAACCAAATCCATATTTTACCCAAGTCTCTAGGAGATGTAATTCGGTTTCAGTCATAGCTATGTCAAATCTTCATTAAATCTCTTATAAATTGGTGGAATGACAGGTATTTACATGCTTTACTATTTTATATAACCGTTTATTTTTCAGAGTAATAATAGTCGAGATACAAATGGTTTATATTGGTATAATAAATTATACACAAGAAAACGGGTCTGGATCGGTCTGAACCGGCTCCATAGACTGCAAAAGACCGGTCCTAGGTGGTTCAGTTCGGTTCCCTCAATATCTGGGTCGGTCCTAGACCAGTCGCAGTCCACGGTTGCACATTTTGGGGGCAAAAAACCAGACTGAACTGAACTTGCGAACACTAGCTGTGACCAGGGTATTGTCAAACGGCTTTGCTGGCGTTGGTACAACTATGGGCAGTAAAATATCTCCCTTTCTATAATACTTGCTTGACTAACAATTCTTTCACTCATGTCACAGTTGTAGTCAGCACACCGGCACACCTTCTGCCTCTCTCAAGGACATTCCCGCCATCCCCGTCTCTGCCTTTGCAGCGACTGTACAGGAGTATGAGGAGAGCTCGGAGATGGACGATGACAGGGACATGCTTATTGACTAGTCTCATCTTGTAATCTCTCGAGAGAAATATATAGCTATTCTGCATTTGCTCCAAGCTGGTTGCTAATAGCTATCTATGTTATGTCCTACAATACTGTCTATATCTGTCTATGTAGAACTACAAGACTTCCATATTATGATTCTATGGGGAGCTATGTTGTGAGCAGGTCAGGCTAGATATATGATTATAGTGCTATATAAACTAATGGTGATGCTATGGGGTACTATATAAAGGGGGGGTTGCAAAAGTGCTATCATAGCTATCAAAGCTATATTGTGCTACGTGTAACATGATAGTACAGTAAGCCTCACCATCTCTACATCTTACTTTATGATACTTCCCACTCCCCGAGATTCAACTCTCGCTCCACCTCTCTGTGTTTCATTTATTTACGCGTTATTACTTTTCATTACATAAGCATTGTACTTACACCTCATGTTTTACATGAGGTGAATATATCTTCTTTTCACCACCAACCACTCTGTATCGCTCGATACTAGCCCTACTAACGGCTGCATCTAGCTCTCAGAGAACGCGTGGATTACAAGAGGTCGTGACCGCTGCTAGAGCAATCTTCACTGGAACTGTCCGTGAAGATCGGGATACGAGTACCGTGAACTGTCACATTCTACAATCCCGCGCATCTAGTCACCTTACTTGACCTCTCTGAGGGTCACCACACCTCTGTACGTGTATTCGTCAGACTCCCTACGACTGTCCCACTTCTTTGAGGACGCTTTCGCTAAGAAGTGTTCCACAAAGGTGGACACTGTGGGAACCAGTCGCATATCTGACCGATACGCATCTCATTCATCCATCTAATCGGAATTGCATTCACCTACGCTCGTCGGACGAAGACGCCCTCACGACATCGAATTAACCTAAAACACTCAATCTTCGTTCGCCCTCTCAGTCAATCTGTCCGACTTCCGTCGCTCCAAGACTACCCCCTCGGTTTCCAGAGGGGGGAGACCAGCTTTTTCCTTCCCTAGCACGCTTGGGACTTCTAGACTCCCGATTCCGACGTCGACTCGCCCCAGTAGCAGCAAGACTTCGGTCCCCGAAGTCCCAACGCCCGAGACTACGTGGAGGAAAGGTCCTACTTTGGCTTTGACTCTGCAAGCCCCAATAGGCAGCAAGGAAACTCCAGTCATGCGAGACCCCCCTCCTCATCAACCACTTCCCTCAGGCCCTAGTGGATCTGCTTCACCGACGATCACCCCAATCTCCAACGAATCCGTCCCAACAACTTCTTTGAGCGCGGTCGAACCAACAGTCGATCCAGCGTTGAATTCGAGTTTGAACCGTCAAGGCATGGAGAGGGGCTATTCTCTTTCGCCAATGTACAGCCTTATCCTTGAGTACAATCGAGAACAAGGTGACAACCTTTCCACGGCTGCGGAAGTTTCGTGGATTTTGCAGAAACCCATCCTCAAACCTCAAGATATCGAGAAAGGGGGAGACGACTCTGATCCCTATACCGCGGTATGACTGGTCGACTCGGAACTGCAACCTATCCTACGCGTAGTTACAGAACTACAAGTATTCTTGGACCGAATGGCCCAACTCATCGATGAACGCACCAAAGTATTCCGGGTCGATCCGAGCGAGACAATGACCTTGGCCTTACAAGGTTGTGCAAGCCGGTCCCAGTTAGAAATGGCATACAAGATCCTGCTCAGGCGGCTGCTTACCGCTCAACAAACGATCATGAAATACGAAACACAGTATCGTCAATCGGAGGTTCCGCTTTCCCCACTATCGACAGTTCCGGAACTATACGACGAGATCGACAACATCGATAGCGTCGACGATAGAATGAGGTTCATGTTGGATAACGTACCCCGCCACCAAAACCAGATCTTGTCGGGCGCACGAGAAGCTCTCAGGGATGGACTAGGCTGGGACGTGATTTGTCCAACACCCCCTTTACCATCAGCTGCTATCTCGCAACCTTCAACCTCAGAGTTCTCCCGGACCCGAATCGCTCAAGGAAAGAAAAAGGTCGATTGGGATGACAGTGCTCCGTGGGAGAATACCTCCACTAGCGTCGAACAGGGCAGGAACCTCGATGAAGGACTGGAACCATCCTTTGGGTTTCAGACGCCCTTCAAAAAGGGAACTCATTTCTTTGATACGACGACGGAAGGTCTTTCCCCAGCCTTCTTCTCTATGCCTGGGCTCGGCTCTGCCACGGACGTGACTGTAGGCTTGGCTACTCCCTCTAGGACTGAACTAAGCGAGAATGTCAGGGAGTACAGCGCGAATCAAGGGACGAACGCCCTCACTATAACCAAACGAATTCCAGATTCCACTCAAGCAGCCACCACCGCTCCGACCAGCAGTTCTTCCTTCAAGAACGTCAACCCTTTCGCCTCAAACGGCTACAATGGATCTCCACAAGTCCCTCCGAATGGAGGTGGTGGGAACGGCGGAGGGGGTGGTAACAGTCCCCAGAGAGGCGGTGGTAACGGCCTTCCCCACTCAGGGGGAGGAGGAGGAGGCGACCCAGGCAGAGGTCCTCACAACCCAGGAGGTGGCGGAGGACCAAGCAATAATCTCCCTCCTCGAACGCCACAGTTCTACAGCAACCCCGGCGGGGGAAGCGGAGGTGGCGGAGGAGGAGATCCAGGGGGAGGCGGAGGACCAAGCCCCCAGAATAACGATTCTTGGCCGCCAGCTCCGTATGGCAACATGCCCGCTTCGATTAAAACGGAACTAAAGGTGGAGCAGCTGCCCGAGTGGGATGGAAACCACTGGACGGCGATCGATTACTTTTGGCAAATCCAGCAGCTAGCGTACCTAGGAGGCTGGCTTCCCGAGGCTTTAGGCTATTGGTTATGGTTCCATTTGAAAGATAGTTCGCCCGTTCGTCGCTGGTTCGTGACTTTACCGTTAGCACACCAGAGTTACATGCGATCCCACTACCTGAGATTTTTAAAAGGCATCAAAGATGGCTTCCTTGGACACTGCTGGCAACTAAAGATGAACAATTACTATAATGCTCAAACCTTCAGGGAAAGGAATCACGAGAGGGAATTGCCCTCAGAGTTTATTATAAGGCGAATCATATATACTAGAATGCTCCTCTCAGTTGACGCTGGGGGGCCTCTCGAAGTCTTTTACATCATGAGGAAAGCTCCCGTGAGCTGGGGTCCTATCTTGCTTTTGAGTAGCATCAAGGACTCGAGCGAACTGTATTCACGAGTTACTGAGCACGAGGAGGCTCTCTTAGAAGCTTACCGCGTTTCGAGGGGAGGCCAAACCCCTTCTATCGACAACATCGTCACGCAGCTTAAGCAAATGGGTTTCGTTCAAGAAAGACAATCTCATCAGAGGCGAGCGAACATGGTAGAATACAGTGCTAGTACCGATTTCATGCCAGTACCCTCTACAGACGACGTAGTGTCGGCTTCATCGACTGCCGTCGAGGACCTCAGTTCTGGGCAATACATTCTACGTGAAGCTTACCAAGTTCTACGACAGAGACCACGCCTACCTCCCAAAGGAGGATATCCTTTCTCGAAGAATGATCACATTACAACGAAAATGGGGAAAATGCCCCCTTCTCCGTGCAAATGCTGTGGCAGCGCGAATCACTGGGATAAGGAATGTCCAGACTGGAATACTTACCTGGAGAGAGCGAAGCGTTCAGCCAATTCGGTAGAGATCTGGCCCGAGGACGAAGCTGATAAAGCTTACGCGTCAGCATATTCAGTCCTTCTGAACGAAAGGTTAACCGACCAGTCAACTAATCAACCAGTACCCCTCGAGTCTCCCATTCAGCAGGGTTTTGAACAGGCATCGTCCACTTCGCAGACCCCTGCGGAGGAGGCAAGTAAGACCAGCGTTGCGGAAGCGTACAAAGCTTCCAGACGGGCTTCTGTGGAAGAAGTGGAAGACGAGGATTACATAGCTCACCTAAT